TTCAATGAGCCAGAGGCTCCAGCTGCTGCTATCCCTCGGTTAATCCGCCCCTGATGCTATCCACAAATATACCGGGTGTCAACTTGAAAACTTCCCAGCCCTAATATCTTTCTTGCAGCTAAAAATATGAAAATTTGGAAATGCCCGTCAATTTTATTTGTAAAGGAGACACTTTAAATTAATATTTTTAGCCTCCTTGTTTCAACCCCTTAGGAGGGGTAGATGTCACCCTGACAATCTTAAAAGGGAAGGGTGGTCCAGTGGCACATCGTTTTAAAGGGCGTTCCATTTTCTTTACACTAATTACTACTTTGTTGCTTTTTCTCCAGAGGGTTTCGAATAATCGCGTTTCAAAGTTACAGAAACAATTCAACTTGCCTGCATTGAGATTTTGCTTTTCAGATCAGTGTTTAACCAAAAAATATGTCATTGGTTTTCCTTATGGTACAAATGATTAGAAGATTGGGTTACACCTTTAAAGTCGTTGAATAACAGAAAGAAAACCTAGTTCAAACAATTAATTTCAGATTTACTGATTATTTTACTTCGAGAAAAATAACTTTTTATTTACGGAATAGAAATTTCTACAATAAAACCCATGGGATCTACTTACGCATTATCTTATAAGTTCGAACCCCCCTTAACATTGATAAGATATTCCCGGATAGATCGATTGGCAGTAGGGGACCAATTGAATGGCCTCCAAGATAACCGGATTGAACACCCTTAGACTTCTCTTTTGGGGACATCTTAAGTCCATTGTTTATGAAACACAACCTGCTGATATTGATGATCCTAAAAGTCGAACTGCAGCAGAATGTCGGTGAATTCTCGGTAAAGTTTTTAAAATTGAAATGTTAGAAAAGAGTTCAAAAACAGACTTTATTATTGTTTACAGGAAAATTGACAATATTTGAGCAACTTATAATATAGTCACCCTTTCCATTTAAGATTCCAAGGATGAGATTTACCCCTCCTATGGGGTTGAAACAAGGAAGCTAAAAGTATGTGTTTAAAGTGTCCCCCTTACAAATAAAATTTGCGCGTCTCCGATTTTTCATATTTTCAACTGCAAGAAAGATATTAAGGATGGAAGAAGGAAGTTTTCAAATTGAAACCCCGTATGAGTGAATCCATGGTTAATTTTAACACTTATCCAACTCATGAATGACTATTTAAGATTAAGATTTAAGAAGAAAATTGTGTAGTTCTAGTTCTAGTGTAGTAGAAACCCATCCATCTGTGGATCGGTATCGACACTACAAAAAGAACCAGCCAGGTAAGGCTAACCGAACATAAGAGTTGCAGACGTTAACCATAGGGACAATGATACGATTCTGTTCGAAGAAACCCAGGAGCTGAATAGGGAGAATCGGTACTATCCAAGGAATTTTGATATGTCATTGAGATCCAAAAACACAACGAAAATTTCAGTCGAAAAGAAGAGGGTTTCAATGTAAATAGATCATGGAAACCGGCCCTCCAAAGAACACATATCGCACCATTTAAACGGAGAGATGACAATGACCTGGTGTAGATATCAACTGGTAGAGAGCTCTTGATTATTAAATCGCATCATCACATCGCTTTCGACAACCGTCAGATGATCTTCGCAATCTTCCCATCGTCAAAAACCAAGCCAACCCTCAGATTTGTCATACTTGAAGTCGTGTATTTGAAAAAAAATGTTTTCATCAAAAGTGCGCGACCAGTGAGCCCGTGTAAGAAACTACGTGTTAGCAAATACGCCCTTCTATTCATCTTCCATCTGTATTTATATAGTATATGCTTCTGTGACCTAAGGGTGATTTGTCGCGTGATATGTTTTCGCTTCGTGTGTTGTCCATCCGGTTGATGCGTTGATTCCATTCATTTTTTTACCCAGTAGCCAGCACTCCGCACGCTCTCCTAATATTCTCGTTTCGTTCTCTATCTAGCAGTGTTTTCCCGGCAATCATTCGGGGTATTTTCATTTCAGTCGTCTCCAACATCCGCCTGATTTTCGGTGCTTCGGCTCGTGTTTCAGATGTGTACGTCATTAAAGGTCTATTTGTGGCCTTCATATCTATTATCATGTGTTTATTTCGCCAGATCGTATTTTTGATACTCAACGTCCCCATATCTACCTCCACGCCGAGGTACTTCAGATTAGTATCAGCTTGCATCTTAACAAGCTTTTTGATGTTGTCATACATTTTGTGCTACCCGTAGATATGTTCATACTAAGTAATTTTGCTGTTCGGCTAAATGCTTGTAATAATCTTGGTGCATCATCCTCACTCTCCGCGATCAGGACTGTGTCGTCAGCGTAGCCCAGTATTTGACTCTCCCTGTCGCCCATTCTGTATCCTCTCAACTTGCTTATTTCGTCCATGATTTAAAAAGAAGTGGGCTTAACGAGTCCTGTCTGAAGATCTTCTCAATCGGTATTGGCTCGGTATATTAGTTGTTAACTTTAGCTTGAGCATGAAGGAGGTGTGTGTATCTTTCAATTGGACGCGATCGAATGCTTTTTCAAAATCTATAAAACATAAATATGCAGGTTTGTTATATTCGATCGATTTTACCATTATCTGCTTCATGACAAAGACTGCGTGGTTACACGATCTTCCTGTTCTGAATCCTTGTTGTTCATCTAAGAGCAATCATGCCATTGATTATGTTCGTTACTATTTTTCTTGTTGATATATGCTCCTGTAATTTGATGGGATTTTCTTATCCCCATTTTTGAACATGAGGATTGTGATGCGCGATGGCCAGTCATCCGAGATTTTATGAACGAAAAGAATCTTGCGGATAAGAATCACTAGTTATTGGATGAGTCTCGGTTCCCCATACTTATATAGTTCATTTATTATGTCGTCTATGCCCGGGCTTTTCCTGTTTTTTTAGTTTTTGAATGCCAAATTTTACGTACAATTCCTCTATTTGCATTACTTAGTTTGTTGTTATCTTTGGCGTGTTCAGTTCACTCATGGGTTCTTCGTTATTGTACAAGATCCGTGAGATACTGGGTCCAAGTCTCCTTTTTTTATTGGGTTTGATTCGTTTACTTCCTTGATATAATTTCACTGGTTCCTGAAGAACCGCCACATTTGCTTCAGTAGGCCGTAGAAATGAGTCTCCATTCGTTTCGAAAACCTTTTCCAGTATTCCGCTTTTGTTTGTCTAACCAGACTCTTCTGTTCTCAGGGATCTGTATTTTAGGCAAGCTTTTTAGGCAACTTCTTTTCCTTGCATTTGTTTTTTACTTCTCAATAGAACCATGAGGTCTGATTAAATTTTTTAGAATTGTATTTGAATCGGGTGCCTAAAGCTTCCTGAGCAGTTTCCTTGATAGTCTTCTTTAATTTATCATTCACTTTCTTGAATGGGGTTTGTATTGATGTTTTCTTACAGATATTTTGTAGATGGGTCCCAGAGTGATTCAATATTAATTTTTTGCGCTTTTCTCCTATTTTGGAGTTAATGATAATTTAATTTTTCCCAGGAGTAGACTATGGTCGTTTCCTGAGTTCGCTGAGTTTAACGTTCTCATATCCAATATTTGTTTGGGTGTATGCATCTATTGTCTGTCGCGGTAACCACGTAATCAATTGTTGATGTCTGACCTCTTGTATTGGGGACTGTATTTGTATTATTATTCCTATTTCCTATAGAAAATGGCTATCGACTCAATAGGTCTTTCTGCCCTTGTGTAGTACATATGTGTCTTAGCCTAGCTTACTCTAAAATTAATTCCTATTCCTAACACTCGTATAAACTAATCAGTGATAAAAAAAATTTAATTCTTGGCTTACAAAACAAACAGGTCTTAGTCGTTAGTTCAGTTGCGTTTGTAGGTGTTCTAGTAAAGTATTTGTTGGGGTACGAAAACGGGAGTGTTTTGTCTGTCTTGTTAGGCAAAGGGGATTCAGTATGGTCCAGTTGTGGGGGTTGTTTGTCCATTTTGTCTGTAAGTGTATTAGTCGTTCCGAAATGTTTGTCATGTTTGTGCGTTCGCATAGTAGTTGGTTGGAAGGGTTGTGCAGTGGGTGGAAGGGTTGTGTGCTTTGTTGTGTCTTATTCGTGTTATTAGTCTTAGTGCAATTTGTTCTGTTGTTTGTACGTATCGTTTTGTCCTTTCTGTTCCGTTGGCCATGAGTCCGTAGTCCAAGAGGGGTCTGCAGATCGCTTTGTATATTTTTGTCGCGGTATTTGTACTAATTCCTTTGTCCTTGTATATTAGTGATCGAAAGTGTTTTGTTC